ATTCAATAGACAAGTATCTCTAATACAATAATCCTTCAATAGACAAATATCTCTAATACAATAATCATTCAATAGACAAGTATCTCTAATACAATAATCCTTCAATAGACAAATATCTCTAATACAATAATCATTCAATAGACAAGTATCTCTAATACAATAATCATTCAATAGACAAGTATCTGTAATACAATAATCATTCAATAGACAAGTATCTGTAATACAATAATCGTTCAATAGACAAGTATCTCTAATACAATAATCCTTCAATAGACAAGTATCTCTAATACAATAATCATTCAATAGACAAGTATCTGTAATACAATAATCATTCAATAGACAAGTATCTGTAATACAATAATCATTCAATAGACAAGTATCTGTAATACAATAATCGTTCAATAGACAAGTATCTCTAATACAATAATCCTTCAATAGACAAGTATCTCTAATACAATAATCTCATACAAGATGGTAAAATTGAACCGTCATCAAACAATAGACTAATTGATAAAGATATCCAATGCAGGCAATCCACACCTGTCTCCTGTGAAGAGCGTTGCAACAAATGGACTATGGTGGTAGGAGACCGTTATGTAGATCACTGATCTCAGTTACCAAAAAGAAAAAAAAATGCCTCGAATGGTGTCACTAGCACAGACATTGACTAAGGAGGACTGGTAAAAAGAGATGTGGTCTAGCAAGTCATGATTTACTCCTTCTTGCACAGATAGGGAAAAAGACATTTTAAAAAGCCGCACAGATCACTACATCCTTTTTGTGTGTTTTCAACTGTCCATATCTCTGACTTGGGACATGTTTTCCTGGTCTTCTGGACAGCAACAGATTGTCTTAGTAGCTTTGTCATAAACACAAATCCAATTACGTTGTAGTTTTAATACGTTTTGTAAACACATTGGCAGGTCACTTTACTCAATCAGCCAGCAGTATCCCACCCCTCACGCTAAGGGTTTGACTGTAAATTTTATAAGGCACCCACATCTTAAAGTGTGGGAAATACTGTGAGGTATCTCGTGGATTGAACCCAGCTCGCCATCACCGAAATCCAGAACTCTACCACAGGGTAACACTACTCTGACCAGATATGGTGTGGATGTAGCCTAGTGGTTAGTGTACCTGAATGTCAATTCAAAGGTCCATGCTTAGCGTCCCATTTACCCAAAACCACAACAAAATATAGCACTCTGCACTTTGGTGCCGTGGTGCGTTATAAGACAGATAGTCAAATCACACTATCCAATTAGAGTAGCTCAAGGACTGGCGGTGCATGCTGTTGCCTGTTTGTCTTCTATTGGTTTGCCCTCCCCCGTCATTGGCTCAACGGTAAGTATGATGGCTTATAACGCTAAAAACTGGGTTTCGATACCGTGGTAGGTAGAGCACAGATAACCAATTGCGTAGTTTCGTGCTTGAAAACAACCAAATCTATAAATTTCAAATTAGGGCCGTCTAGCCTTTCCGTAGCTTTGCGCAAATATTCGAAACAACCCAACCCATATTAGTACGTGTGAGTTTATTGCTACTGTAAGTAAACTGAAACATTTTACTTGTTTTCAAATCAAGAACTTCTATGGAAAGTATTAGGCCTATCTGTTCTTATTGAACTTCAGGAGAAAAATAAGCTGACAAGATGTCTCAACAACCTTATAAAGTCTTAGTAGGTATATAACAAATTTATCACTGATTTGTTTGAAAGTGAACTGAAAATTCCCACGCGATATCATACAGTTTTTATGAATACAGAATACTTGTTCTTTTATATAAAATTTTGCAGGACATAAAATGAGAAGTAATATACACGTAGGTATTTGGGTAATATGTTTCATAACTTAGGAGAACTTATAATCAAAAAAGGAATGCACTTTATGTTTAGATAGTTGTGGTTATATAGAAATCAGTCACTTGTTTTAAAAATTAAATCTTATAGAAGGACAACAGATTTTAGGGCTATATAAATAAAACAAACTAAATGGAAGCTAAAATTAATCTGATGGATAAACCTTGAAATATCCAATGTAAACATCAAAGTGTAACGATCACACTAAAACAAAAAAAAATAGCGCTTTGGTTGCAACGTCAAACGTTTCATTCGTGAATAAATGAAATATTAGATATTCAATCATCAAGCTCTTGTAGAGATAGCAAGATGTAAAGGCAAGGTATGTGATATTCTGTAATCTAGGTCACATCAAAGCTTCACTTAGAAACGCCCCCCAGTGGCACAGCGGAATGTCTGCGGACTTACAACGCTAGAAACCGGGTTTCGATACCCGCGGTTGGCAGAGCTCAGATAGCCCATTGTGTAGCTTTGTGCTTGATTAGAAACAAACAAACAAACAAACAATCACTTAGAAACCGTACTGTGAGTCATGATTATCAGCATTTTCGTTGGTCAAGAAAATAAACTTAATCAGTTCTAATATTATTGATCCCGAGATAATACAATCATCTTATACACCCCCCACCCCGCCCCAGTGGCCCTGCGGCAAGTGTGTAGGCTTACGGCGCTAAAATGCGGGTTTCAATACCCATGGTGGGCAGAGCACAGATAGCCTATTATGCAGCTTTGCGCTTAACAACAACCAAACCAAAATAAATAAAAAAACTGAAATAATATTTTACCAATTGCTATAATCAAATAAATATCTAGTAATCACAAGCACATGGCTAACAACAGAATCATCGAATGAAATATTATAAGTATAATCATGTCACGTGATTTGCATTCAAAGTAATGTAATTAATCAATGAAGTAAGTATTACAGCACCTTCTGATGAGCCTCCATAGAACCAACCCGAGCTCGTGTATCTTCATATAGAACTGAAGCTCCATTTGTTGGATCCGTATTTATACACAAACTTGGTTTATACGTTATGTTACCTCCTCACACACACTTTCAACAATTAATTAGTTTCAAGTTTTCACTGATATTTGCAGATTTAGGTCAAGGTAAAATTTTCTTCAGTAAAACTGTTACTGCATTTTGAAAAGTACTAGTACAATTCTCATTACAGTTTACTTTCATTATTTTCAGTAAAATGTACGCGTATTCTTCATTGTAACTAATGGTATCGTGACTATGAAACTTTAACACTTGGTACTGACGGAACAACACACTCTCCAGCACAATTTCTACTTACAAACAATACAGCATAAAAAAAATTGGTGGTTAGGTTCAGAAATAATATAAAATCTCATCGTTATATATTGAAAGATACGCTTTTCAGATGCTCAGAATACGTATAAAAAATAACCAATGCTTACCTACAAAATTGAGAATCAAAAACACCAACGCAAAGCTGAAGTACACAGTGAAAGTTATGTTGTGTGAGTATTTGAATCTCCGAAACAATCCGACCCATTGTGCCCACCTGTAGAACAAGAAATATTACAGTACTATACCTGTCTGTCTAGTAAACATTTGAAGAGATCTATAAACATTTTATCTTTCTTCAAAAAGCAAAAACGAGGCCATATGATAAAATCAATCTTGTCAAACTCGTGGTATGTGTATATTTCATTATTTGGTAAGGTGTGGAGATAAGAACCATTACTTACTTGTGAGGCTTTATCCACGGAAATATCAAGGCAAATAATAACCCTTGTTCAGCCAGCAACACAACGGTGGTAAAGAGGTTGAGAAAAGTCATTAGGATCTGTGTGCATAGTTCGATAAAAAACAAAACAGAAATTAGATAAAATTAAAAACAATTTAAATATATTCTCAAGCATTCTAGATTGTCTCATTGTAATTAAAATGTGGATTATATTTATTTTCATTATTTAACGTAGTAAAATATAAACGTATTGCCAATTCTTGGAATATAAGGCGAAACGTTTTAATATATATTAAAAAGTGATACTTAGATACGAATAGGTCTAAAATGTGTGATAAAAAGAAGTACGCTGTAGACGTTTTTTGTATACATTCCGCTTAATTTGTCCATTTTTGGACTCGTAGTCAGAGTCATGTAAAAATAGCATTTGGGAGCTATCTTTGGTCTCCCACTAGTCACTGCTCAAGAGGCCTTTCGGTCAGCACCAGAACTCGTCGGTTGGGCTGGGTGATGACACAAAAATATTTTATGAAACGTTATTTATATATGCAATACAATACTTGAAAAGTTATAGTTTGAACACCGAAAGCTGGCGAAACATTAGAAACCAACAGCCCTAAAATATGCGATGAAAGTCACGTTTACTGCAGATGTTGTTTTTACTTGTTCACTTTTTTTTAACGAAAGGCATCTTGGGTAATGACTAGTGGAAGATGAAAGATAGATCTGAAATGCAATATTGAAACATCTCTGGTTTTTAATCTGAAAATGACAGTTTGAGAAATGTAGGGAAAAAACATTTGTAATTTATATGATTTCTATCATAAATTGTAGGCCAATAGATTTACTGGACCCAGATTAAAGCATTTGTTCGTTTTTCATGTTCTTATATAATTATAGGTATCGCCAAATCAAGCATGATTGGATTGTATTGAACGTTTTCTGATGTTATTGTTTTTTAAGTGAATTTCGTATGATGAGTAAATGATAATCAAAGTTATCAGTGGCTACACAAAATATTTTATTTGCCATCTTCTCAATAATGGAGCTTCAATTAAAACAAGATATAGAAGTTTGACAATGTTTTTTTTTACTACATATTTCGGCATCATTTTTACACTCTTTACTTCTTATTAGCAAATAAACACATTTTGACACAAAAATACTTGAAGTAACAAGTGAAATAGTACTGGTAGCAAAAATAATGGTTTTATGAATTTCGTTATACACTTTTCTCAGCCTTAACTATACAAGCTTATAGCCCGGCATGGCCAGGTGGTTAAGGCACTCGACTCGCAATCTGAGGGTCGCGGGTTCGAATCCCTGTCACACCAACCATGCTCACCCTTTCAGCCGTTATAATGTGACGATCAATCCCACTATTCGTTGGTAAAAGAGTAGCCCAAGAGTTGGCGGTGGGTGGTGATGACTAGCTGTCTTCCATCTAGTCTTACACTGCTAAATTAGGGACGGCTAACGCAGATAGCCCTCGTGTAGCTTTGCGCGAAATTCAAAAACAAACAAACAAACAAGCTTATATCTCGATGTTTCCGTGGAGGGGGAAATTACCTTTGCTCGATCGGAAATAACAGAATATTCCTTAGTTGTTACCCTACAGTTAAAAGTGATCTTTTAGAGTATAACCATTGGTTCGCGAATTTATTTTTCTAAAGAATTGCACATACAAAGGAAGAGTCATTCAAATCAATCGACAGCATGCTACGTAAAGTGGCAAAAACATACAATTTGTATGTATTTCATACCTGAAAGTATTTTTGTTTTTAAACGATGATAAGCATGAAACTCACCATGACACTATATGAATACAACCCCACGAAGTATGTTATCTTTTTTTTTACAAACTCTGAGGCGCAGTTTCTGAAACGAAGTCTGAACTGTGCTTCTTTGATTCAAAGGTTCGCGCAAGCCTACACAAGATTTATCTGCGTATAGCCGTCCTAATTTGGAAATGACAGACTAGGGAAAGACAACTAGTAAACAGAACACGCCGCCACCTCTGGACCTCTACTCTTGTTTAATCGAATAATATGATTTGGCCGTCACTCTTAAAGCACACCCATGGTCTCAAAGTGTGACCAAGCACAATAAGTTCTAGGATATCCGCGGCCTTTTGGTCTAAAGAATTAATACTTAAAGTCTGTCGAAGGATTACTGTATTAGAGATACTTGTCCACTGAAGGATTACTGTATTAGAGATACTTGTCTACTGAAGGATTATTGTATTAGAGATACTTGTCTATTGAAGGATTATTGTGTTAGAGATACTTGTCTACTGAAGGATTACTGTATTAGAGATACTTGTCTATTGGAGGATTACTGTATTAGAGATACTTGTCTACTGAAGGATTACTGTATTAGAGATACTTGTCTATTGAAGGATTATTGTATTAGAGCACTTGTCTATTGAACTATTATTGTATTAGAGATACTTGTCTACTGAAGGATTACTGTATTATAGATTCTTGTCTATTGAACGATTATTGTATTAGAGATACTTGTCTATTGAAGGATTATTGTGTTAGAGATACTTGTCTATTGAAGGATTATTGTGTTAGAGATACTTGTCTATTGAAGGATTATTGTGTTAGAGATACTTGTCTATTGAAGGATTATTGTGTTAGAGATACTTGTCTATTGAAGGATTACTGTATTAGAGATACTTGTCTATTGGAGGATTACTGTATTAGAGATACTTGTCTACTGAAGGATTACTGTATTAGAGATACTCGTCTATTGAAGGATTATTGTATTAGAGCACTTGTCTATTGAACTATTATTGTATTAGAGATACTTGTCTATTGAACAATTATTGTATTAGAGATACTTGTCGATTGAACGATTATTGTGTTAGAGATACTTGTCTATTGAAGGATTATTGTATTAGAGATACTTGTCTATTGAACGAGTTTATCAGCAATGGTAAAAGGTAAATAAGATGTCTGCTACAAAGAGAAAAGTGGTCAACAACATGGAGTGGTAGAAAGAGGAGAAAAGTGAGAATGACTTATGTCTTGGTGCAGCCTACCAATGAAACTGTCTTTGCCACTGTGACACCTGCTAGGCGTGCACCCACTATTATACCTCTTTCGAACACTGCAATATCTTTGCCTTTCCACCATATCTGTCAGATTGGTTGCAAATGTGCTTGTTACAGTCACTTATAGTGCTGCAGGGATCGCCTAACATATCGTGTGATCAATTTAATTTGCACCCGCAACTCATGTCAAGACCACGCCTAAAAAGGTGCATAGTTCCTAATAATATGTTAACTAATGTATATTAATTTTACGACAATGGCTGCTCTAAACTCATAGTTAAAAGTTTTGATCATATATGTTGGACTTTCATTCGTAGTTTTAATTTATTTTTTAAATATGGTAAATATATAAGTTTCTATTTAAATACACACAGCGTGGTCACAAGTAAATAGACACCATCTTTTCAGAAAAAATGAATTTTTTTCAGTCATATTCACATGAATTGATATATTTATAATTTAATTAATATCTAGTAGATATTCTTTTCGCTTCGTGGAGTTCGTTGATCCTTTGGGGCATCATGAGAATCATCTTGTCAATTTTAGATTGTGGGATTTTCGCCCACTCTTGCTTCAAAACTTGGAGTAGATCGCTCTTCCAAGTTGGTTTTTTTGGTTGTTTCTTGACTTGCCGGTCGAGTATGGCCCAGAGGTTTTCGGTAGGGTTCAT